AAAAAAAAATTAAAAATTATGGCTTTTGACTTTGTTGCAATTTTTTTATCTCACCCTGTATTTTCTTGATCAGCGTAAATTTCTAAGACGATTTGAGCCTAGTCCGTCCTTCCGTCTGTTGTAATCACACTAGAGTCAAAAAGAGTCAAGATACGAAGATAAAATTCAAATGTCAAGTTCGAAGATGGGCTATATACGTCCACGATATCGTATGGCCCCTATATAAGGGCACCCTCCGATATTCAGTGTTTTGATGATTGTAGCCAAATTTTTCAATGGCAAGAAAAATTCCAAAGTACTTTACCTGCTGGAAGAGTATTTTCTTATAGGTCCACGATATCGTACATCCCCAATAAATGGTAGCTCCCTATATTCGGTATTTTGATGATTTTAGCTCCCTTTTTTAATGGAATATCCTGAAAATCTACACAAGAAGTTCTTTCTAAATACTTTATCCCCCGGAAGAAAATTGTTTATATATGTCCTCGATATCGTATAGCGCCCATACAACGGTACCCTTCGATATTCGGTATTTTGATGAGTTTTGGCCCATTATTCACCGGAATTTTTTTTTCAAATTTTGTATTAAGAGTTCCTAATGTGTACTACATAACAATAACAATGAAATTTGAAATTTCATATTTGAAGTTCCCAATAAAAACTACAGTCTATCACAGAAAATCATCTATGCAAGTCCAGGTCTTCGTGTTGCCCCCATATATCGGTACCTTCCTATATGGTATTTTAACGATTTTTTTACAATATTCACCGGAATTGTTTCAAAATTCATATTTGAAGTTCCTGCATGCAGTTGTATGTGCAGTACCTCCCTATATTCGGTATTTTGATGATTTTAGCTACGTTATTCATCGGATTTTTTCAGGTTTCGTATTTGAATGTTTGTAATAGCCTATAAAAATAGTTTCCTACATAAGCCCACGTCTTCGTATAGACCCTAATATAACGGCGACTTCCTGTATTGGTATTTTTAAGATTTTAACAGAATTTTTATCGGATTAATTTTTTTACATTTCAAATTCGTTTCAAATGGTGAAGGGCCATCTTTCAAATGGTGAAGGGCATTCAAAGTTCGGCCCGTCTGAGCTAACTGCTTTTTTACTTGCTGAAATATATTTTGAATTGCTTTACGATTATTCAAAATGCTGACGGGGTTGATTTTGAAGAAGTCGGCTAATATTGTCCATTTCATATCTGACAATATCTGACATAAATATTACAAGGTGCCAGATTTGGATAATATCGACCACTTCCGTCACTTTATATGAGATATGTGATATTTGTTTTCAAAAACGTTGAAATCTGCAGGAGGTACCAGATGAGAATATTTACCTTTTGTGGGGAAGGTACTAGAAGGAGCCGGCCGATAAATTCCACATTAAACTTAGATCTGTGGTTGAGAGAAAAATTTTAGATATACCAATTTTGAAAAGAATTGCCGACTGGTTTCGCAAGTTATGAGAAAAATCGATATTGAAAATTGGGGGAGGTAACAGAAGGTGTGAGCTACTACATTTTTCATACCAGATCGTGTGAAATTTGAAGGGAATAAGAGTTTTTTATTTCAAATTTTTACCTCTTCGTGAGTACTTGAAGAAGTGGGCCGATATATTCCAACTTCACACCTGATTTTTGCGCTATTCGAGGTATAGCGATGTGTGAAATTTGGAGACAATCGCATGCTTATTTCACATTTTATGAGAGATATAATAATTCAAAATGTTGACCCCTTAAGGGGAAGAACCCAGCAGGAATGGTTCTACATATTCCGGCTTCCCACCAGACCTTATTTTAGTAGAAATGTTGAGATGTGGGAAATTTAAGGAGAATTAAATTCTCAATTCGCATTTTATTATCGTTTTGTTTTAATTTTGATCCTTTGTGGGGGAAGGACTAGAAGGAGTGGACCGATACATCACACCTTCATCCCAGATCTTGTGTAAATAAGAATATTCAGAGGTGTGAACTTTGAAGAGAATCGAATTTTTATTCAAGGTTTTATATGAGATATAAATATTAAAAATGTTGACCCTTTGCGGGGGTGGTACCAGAAGCGACTGTCAGATCCATCTCATATTTATAACAGATTTTGTATTTATGGAAATATTGTGAAGTGCCATGTCAGAATGGAATCGGATGTTAAATTAGCCTTTTATGAGCTTCATGGAAATTCAAAAATTTTGACCCTTTGTGGGGGAGGGACCAGAAGGGGTAAACCGATACATTCCATCTTCCCAGATTTTCATTTTATGACAGATATAATTATTCAAAATTTTTACCTATTATGGGGGATGACCCAGCAGGAGAGGTCCTACATATTCCATCTTCACACCATATCTTGTTTCAGTGAAATATTGGGATGTGTGAAATTTGAAGAGAATTGGATGCTTATTTCGGGTTTTATTAGAAATAAAAATATTCAAAATTTTGACCCGTTGTGGGGAAGGTACCAGAAGAAGTGGTCCCGCCATTCCTATCTTTATACCAGACCTAGATTTATTAAAAGTATTGGGATAAGCGAAATCTCTAGACAACTGGGCTATTATTTCACATCTTATAAGCGTTGAGATTTTTTTGACCCCTATGTTGGGGAGGTACCAGAAGAAGTGGGAAGGTATTGTAATTTTTGCACCTGACGTAGCACTAACAAAAATATTGGCAAATTTGCAAAGCTTGGTACTTTCCTTTTTTAAAAGGTACAATATTTCTTGAAAATTTTGATCTTTTGTTGGGTTGGTACCGGAAGGAGCGATCCGATGTTGCTCATTTACAAACACAATCTAGGTTTGAAAATAATACGACGATGTACCAAGTTTGAACAAAAATCTGATCCTGACTTCGAGAGTTATTGTGCGCACCAGCCAGACAGATGGACGGCCGGACGAACACCTCTAGATTGACTTCAAATGTCCTGAAACGGATTTGGTCCAAAGAGACCTAGGGTCTAAAATTTTTATTTCGATGAGGCACGTTTTGGCCGAATCAAATGATATATATCCTCTATATGGCTGAGGGAATAGACAACAGGATGTTTTTTCAAAAATATGTATTTGGATAAAATTTTTAGAAACGTTGTTCATGGATCAGTTCTATGATTTTTTTTTAATCCATGATTTTTTTCATAATCCAACAAATCGGATATATAGCAAAATAGGTGCGATATATATGTCTATCAAAAAAGATATGCTTGAAAGATCTCTTATATGTCGAGAACGGCTGAACTGATTTCGACAGTTCTCATTAATTGAGAATGGCCTCTTGACAGGAAAGAAAAAACGTTTAAAAAAATCGCATAAAAATATCTCTCTAAAGATGAAAATATTGATTTTGTAAAATTTTCTCATATTTTTTCAATTTTGTCATATTTTTGGCATATTTTCATTTTGAATTAAACATTTGGTAATATTTCTACAGCTAACAAAACTAAGTAGTTAGGATATCAGGATATCATATACAGATCGCATTTATGGCCCGATCCTTACGACATTTTGCATGGGTATAAGATGAGGGTCAGAATAGAAGCCTACTCTTTTTGGAGATCATCGCAATATATTTAGGGGTTGAAATGGACCAAAAAACTGCAAAATTGTTAGCAGGTCGTAATTATCGCCCGGTCCTCACGCACATTTGAATGAGGGTTACCGGACATTCCAAAAGCCAAGCAGTTTCGGATGGCCATCCAAAAATATTCAATGTGCGAAATAGTTTGCCAACTTTTGTAGACAAAATACGAAAATGTCCATTCCAGTGACTCTTTGGAGAATTCACAAATACAGGAAAGACGCACTTCTGACTATTTCGTTAACGCTGATTTCGTGGAAGAATATAGTTAAATGTCTGTATCTCATATAGATGCGTTTCAGTCAAAAACCAATAATAAATGTTAATCTTTTGCCACTTCTGACAGATTATAGGTCTTTGGGAAATATTCGTTCAAGATCTAGGAAGACCATTTACGTGCAACATCTACCAATAAATTGGAAATGAGCAAATTAGTTTAAGTTGCTATTATTCGAAAATTAGAGAACGAAGACTGATGGGTTTCTTTTATAATTTGTCACTTGTCTTGTAGATTTCTTTCGAGTATCTCGCCTATATAAACAGTATCGTTTATTATAGTGTTGTAGGGTATTCAACGGTCGGCCCCGCTCGACTGTAGCCTTTGCTTACTTGTTACGTTTAGAAATAAAATTGGAAGACGAGGATCTGCATAATAACAGATGCCAAAACTTCCTCCAAAATCATATAATACCGAGTATTGGGAGGTATCGTTATATGGGGGGCTATACGAAAACGTGGACCGATACGCCTATTTACAAATGTAATCTGCGCACGGGCAAAATATATATGTGTACCAGATTTTAGACAAACAGACAGACTGACATCGCATAATCGACTTAGAATTCTACGCTGATCAAGAATATGTATACTTTTTTTGGTCTAACATGAGTATTTCGAGGAGTTACAAACGGAATGTTAATATACCCTCCATAGTATGGTGGAGGTATAAAAAAGCAACAGAAGGCATATTGATTTTAAAAATGGCGAAAATGCCTTAGTCATTCCATTACAATATTCAAGTTTTCATTTAATTTGAAATGCATTCCTCTCTTACCATTCGCTGTGGAATTTCGCTTGTAATCGTTGTTCGCTTTGTATTGCTGCAAGAAAACGAAAACGTTGCTTATACCAATATTTACATGCTAACCTAATTTCTAGTTGCTGTTGCTACTCCGGCTGTTGTGCTATTCTCCTGCTTCCTTGTTTTTCCCTTCATTTACATCATCTCGTTGTTCTTTGTTTCATTTATTCCCTTTATTGTAATTGTATTTCTAAAAAGTTTTTTTTTTCGCCACACAAGCCACACATGGATATTTCAGCCACACATGTTGGCCGGTTGAAACACACATACATATACATACACATCGCATCGAACTCGAACTCGCACACTCCAATCTCCAACTGACCCTAATGATACTTACGTGCATTCGTATTCGTTCCACAAATCAACACAATCGAATGGATCCGGACAGATAATGTTCGAACAAGGACGATTTGAGGGGCAGTTACGTTCTAAATTTCGCGCCATTGTTGCCTGTCCCCACTGGGTGCCGTTCATGGAGGGTGGTAACGGCAAATGCTTGCCATCGAGTCTGGAAGAATACCAAAAAAAGAAGAGAGAAGGTGAAAAATGGAAGAAGAAAAAAGAACATTAAAAGTACAACATGAACACACACAAACACACATACACAAATTTACATTTATACCACTATGTAGCTATAGTTGAATAATTTCGTATTGCAATGACTTTTCCCTCGCTCACAAAACAAGAACTGAAAATAGGTTGAACATTGGCTTGATTGTTAACCACCAGACACATATTGACAAACTGACGCTGAGGCAAACCGTTGAAGGTGTGGTAAAAGTGAATTAAAAATATTGCAATTAAAATCCTTTTAATGTACGAAATGTACACAAATATATATAGATCACAATACAAGTCACAATTGGAGGACAGGTGAAAAATGGCTGCAATTTGTGGTTAACAGAATGATATACACAGATATATATTTATACGTCCGTCAATGTAGAAAAGGTTAAAATTGTCAAGGTTGTAGTCTAGTGTGATTGAATACACATCTACGGAGTTGGAAAATGTTGGTCGTAGAAATTATTGATACGGAAAAAATCTTAAAAACCACAGTTTTGGAATTGAATGCGAAAACAGCATGAAATTCGATAGAATTTGGAAATATTATTTTATGATATTTGATATAAGATATTTATTCCTTTGAGTTTTTCAAACAAAAATTAAATATTACGAAAAAATATCTCTTAGATTTAAGACGTATTAAATTTACATTTCAATTGTAATATATAAATGTTAAATCTTATTTTCTAAAAAATATTATTCCTAGACAAATGATTTATTCCTTGACTTTTAGAGAAATATTACTTTTTGTGTCGGCCATATTAAAGCGCAATTTCGGGTAGCTTTAATGCATCAAATCAAAAAATATGCCAAAAAAATAATCTATCAAAAAGTAGGAAATATTTTAAATTTTATTTTTAAGTTAATATGAAAATATTTGGTCTTGATATATAATGAAAAAATATATTTTTTTCGTTTTGTAAATTATTCTGAAATTAGATTAATGTTATGTGAGGAAATTTCACAAAAAGACACATGTTCCACGACTTTGACGCTAATATTTAATTATTTCTGGGATTTAGATAAGATTTAAAGTATTGAAGTATTATGGTACCTGCTGTAGATTTCACGACAAATATTTTTGTAGAATATTTTGTCTTTGCATTTCTAACGATTTTTGAAAAAAAAAAAAAAAAAAACACAAAGAAGCCCTTTGATAGTACCCTGAGAGTTTGATCAAAATAATACACGTATTATTATCAGAAATATTACCGAAGACATTTCTATCATAAAGGAGCATGCAAGGTTATCTCATCTCACCAAAACTGCAACTAAGTTTACACTGCTGTCATTTCTAAGTCACTCGTCCGACAGCTCTTAAAATTATTCCAGTGACAACTCATTATATTGCTTACAAGCGTACAAAAGCATTTTGCTGATAATTTTCCAGAAAAAAAGTTATTCGTGATGGAATTCAAGCGTGATAGTGTGATTTCTTTATATTTAGCTGGAAAACCACAACTGGCTATCGTTAGAGCACTCCAGCATTTAAATGTGAATAAATCTTTTGTGTCTCGTACCATCGCTCGATACTGAGATACTGGTAGCGAAGTCCGACGTCAATGAAGTGGACGGAAGAAAACAGCAATATCAGCAGAAATGCTTCGAAAAGTAAAGAAGCGATTTGATCGAAACCCACGTCGCAGTGGCCGAAAAATGGCTCGTGAGCTGAACAAATCGCAATATCCCATTCGGCAAATATTGAAAAATGAGCTCGGTGTAAAGCCATTTAAGTTCCAAAATGTGCAAGAACTTACATCGCAACAGAAAGAAAATTGACTCAAAAGAGCTAAAGAGTTGCGTCGCTTGGCCAAAAGTGGTGAACTGCATAATTTGGCTTTCTTCGATGAGAAAACCGTCGTTGTCCAGCAATTTGTAAACAAACAAAATGATCGGGTTTACTTGGCAAGGAGGTCAGGTGAATATTGGGTTGGCCACCAGAACTTAAGCGCCGCCATGGTGATGGTGTGCGCCGCCATAACAGCCAATGGTCGCTTTCCGCTCGTATTAAACGACCGTGGCATCAGAATAAATGCCGAATATTATCGCGAACATATTCTGGAGGGTGTATTAAAGTCTTGGGCACGTAAAACATTTTGGCCGCAGACCTTGGACATTCCAACAGGACTCAGCACCATCGCACTAAGCACGCGCCACCCAAGAATGGTTACAAAATGAAGTTCATTCATTTCCAGCGCACAATGGCCACCAAAACCTCCGGATACCAATCAGTTGGACTATTGTGCCTAGAGTATTTTGCAAAAAAAGATTGTCACTGAAAAATATCAAAGTTTCGATTAACTCAAGCAAGCGCTTCGCCGGGAATGGGCCAAAATACCACAGAGCAACATTCGGATTTCATTGGCCGTTTGAAGGCCATAATTCGTGCCAAATGTGACCAGATCGAAAAAATCTAAACTTATTTTAAAATTTTATACTATTTCTCACATTTTTAGCTTTCATTCAATAAAAATAAAAATTAAAAGAATTTGGCGTTTGACTTTGTTGCAGTTTTTTTATCTCACCCTGTATTAGGATTTACAAAGCTTGCACAAAATCGGTTGATCTTTTTTTATTCCAGAGGTAAATAATATCATGTGGAATATTTAATCTTTTGTGTGGAGGAATAAGAAGGAGTGGACCGGCATATCACCCCCAGATATCCTGAACGGTGTCGTAGGGTTTTATACCGTTACCTCCATGAGGTACGATTTGGCTTTATTAAGTGATGTATAGTATTCAATGTGAAGGGGCCGATATTTACTCGAATTCGGGCAAAATTTTTAAGAGGTTTGTATTTACCTGCTTGTAAAATTTGGCAAAAGTATTTTCAGGCTATATTTGACATCTTGTACTGAATGTCACAGTTATGTGACATCTTGTACCGAAAGTGAATACTCCTGATTTGGAGAGGCTTCAATGTAAAATCAGATGATCTGTGGATATTCATCAAATTTGATATACTAGCTCCAACACTAATTTCTGTCGTATGTTTCAAAATGCTTGCCATTGCAGTTGATATTGCACAGCTGGTGTATAAAAAAAAGGAATTTTTTACAGAGTCGAGCCGGTGTACTTAAAATTAGGACTTTGGAGCCCTAATCGGCTTTTCAAAGAATACCAAAAAATATCCTCATAAAAGACCAAAGGTTTTCTCATAGAAGAACATAAGGTATTTCATGAAATACCAAAATATATCCTCATGAAACATTTAGAGAATTTTTTCTAGAAGACCAGCTATTCTTCCCCCAGAAGATCGAGACCTCTTCTCGTAGAATACAAAAAGTTCTTCTTATAGAAGGAAAAACGTCTTCTCATTCCGCAAAATAACCATGAGAGGTTTTCTCATTATAGACCAAAAGGACTTCTCCAAGGAAATCTGATGATTTCCTAGTAGAACACTCATAGGACTTATCAGAAAACTAATAGGAAAGAAGACCAACATTTTTCCTCGGACGATTTTTTAGTCAAACATATATCAAGGATGTAAAACCTTTTGCGAAAAAAAAAAACAATTAAAAAAACAGCTAAGTTCGGCCGGACCGAACTTTTAATAACCTCTATCATTTCGAAGATACTTTAAAAATTAAAAAAAACCTCGAATAATACAGTATAAAAAAAAACTATTGTTGGACCCATGCGAAGACTTAGATCTACATAAGTAATTTTGTCATAGGCTGTAGTACTAATTCCGAACTTCAAATATTAAATTATAAAACATTCCGGTGAAAAATGTCGCTAATATCATCAAAATACCGAATATCTGGAGGTACCGTTACATGTGGGCTATACGAAGACCTGAACCGGCATAAACAATTTTCTGTCATAGCTTGTATGAAATTTAAAACAATTCCGGTAAATAATGTCGCTAAAATCATCAAAAAAAAAGCATATCGGGATGCATCATTATATGGGGGCTATGATGACGTCGTCCTGGAAATGAACCTATTAAGATCTTCAAATACGAAATTTGGAACAATTCTGCTAAATAAATCATATAAATACCGAATGTTTTCCTTATATGGGGGCTACACGAAGACGTGATCCTGCCTACACAATTCATTGTCATAGACTGTAGAACCGATTCCAAACTCCAAATAAGAAATTTAAAACAATTCCCTAAAACCTTCAAAATACCGAACATCGGGAAGTATCGGTATATGGGGGTTATACGAGGACGTGGATGTGCATACGCAATTGTCGTGGGCTGTAATACCCATTACGAACTTTTAAATACGAAGTTTGAAACAATTCCGATGAAAAAATGTTGCAAAAATAATGAAAATACCGAATATGTGGGAGGGCGTGGGGGTACCGTTGTATGGTAGCAATACGATATCATGGGCCTATATAGACAATTCTCCTCCAGGAGCGAAAGTACTCAGAAAGAACTCTTTGTGTTAATTTTCAGATAATTCCATTGAAAAATTGGGCTACAATCATCAAAATACCGAAATATCCGGAGGAATCGTTATATGGGGACCATATTCGAAGTTGACCTACCTACAGGGCGAAAGACTGATCTGGGAAAAATTTCAGCTTCCTATCTCCATTCGTTTTGATTCGTATTTAGCTAAAGTGGTGATGTTTCAAAATATCATTAAAGGTACAAATTTTTGAATAGCTCTCAGCCTATAACATGGGCTCTCTCAAATAAATGGGCTGATATTCGATATTTTGAATACCCCACAATATTTTATAAGTTCTTACGTATCGCTTAAATAATAGGAGTTTTGAAGCCAACTGATTTAGCTACATTTTGAATTATTTCACGTTGGAGTGAATCAATCGACATAATTTTACTTTTACTTTTGCTAGTCTTCTCTTGAAAACGAAATTAAACCAAATCCAATTATGTTTCCTCCACCCACAGCTTCTGCTCTGCTTAGAAAAAAAAAACAAACAACAACACGTAATTGCGATTCTCATCCTCTCTCATTTTCATTGTTGTTTATCACTATCGACAGTTGTAGTCATTAATCTATTGCCTATTGTCACTAAATTAACTACATTTCCTGCCTCCAAAACATTACACCTCATACTGATTTCTTTGCTTATTTTTTTTTTCTAGTACTTCCTGTCCTTGAAACAATCTCAGTTGTTCATTTGTAATATAACAATATATCAGATTTGACCAAAAAACAAAAAGAGAAAAAAACACGAAAACAACGTCATCATGTGAGCTGTCGGAAGAAATTCATTTAATGATATTATATTTATTACATGTTTGTCAAAACAACTCATTCTGTTGGGGGTTCATTTATTATTTTGTGTGTGTGAGTGTGTGTGTGTGTGTGTACGAATGTATCTTTGGCCAGGTTATTAGGCCAATGTCGTATGCTGTCAATTGTGGTTACATGTCATTTTCAGTTGTTGTTACAATTCATCTATGGTTGTACAAGACACCTGACAACATACTGTATACTCTATATATACGAGTATGTGTATGTGTGTGTGTTTATGCATACACACATATAGAGTTGGTCAGTGAATGTGTCCCCACCGTGTTACCACAACTGCAGTACATAAATTTTAATTACAAATCAAGCAAGGCAACATACACACACACACACACTGCCACATTTTGGAAACACACATGTACACCAAATCCGGTAAACAAACACACGTGTTCGCATACTCTCTCCCAGTCTCTGTCTCTCCCTCTCTCTGTGTGATTACTTCTTTCCTTTTTGTGGAGGAAGCATCTAATGAACTTTTGACATTAAATAGATGACTTACAAATACCGAAATTAGAACGCTCCACACTCTCTCACACTCACACACATACATATGAATATCCCGTCTTACTTTTAGCTCTGTTCGCCTGAAATATCCTCGTTTCTCAAGCTGTGCTTGCTTCATAACATTATGGACTATTCCAGCTCTTTGCCATTTCTTTTGCTTGCCACAAAATGAAATGTGAACTCTGTGTTGAATGATAAGACTGAAAGAGATTACCAAAGACAGCAGTATGGCATGGAAACATTGGTAATGGCGGTTGACGTCTGGCTTTATAAGAAAAACAACACATTTGTAATCACAAGCTTGCACATACACATAAATGCTCACATTTACACACCCAGCGAACCAAATGTCGTACGACACATTTGCCCAAAGTCTGAAGTTTTATCCGACTCGTCGCATCGACGAAGGCCCGAATTCTGAGCAAGTTGTCTGAGGGATTTTTATATCCTACACAACAAAGTGGTAAGGGTATTATGTCGTTGTACATTCGTTTGTAACATGGAGAAGGAAGCGAGATTGGTCCATAGTTACTTTTGAGGATCTTCATAGAATCACTGCGTCTGTCCGTCCATGTATTCTTGTGAACAAAATGCAGGTCACATTTATTATCAGATTGAGATGAAATTTTCCAAACAATATTTGTTAGGCCCGAGGACGAACTCTTTTGAAATTGGTAAGAATCGGTTCAAATTTAGATATAGCTCCCACATATATCTTCAACCGATTTTGTGTTAATTGTGCACCAAATGGCCAATATCAGTCCAAATGACTTGAATTTTGGCAGTACATAAAATTTGGTGAAAATCGGTTCAGATGTAGCTATAGCTTCCATATATATCATTCATCCGATTTGATGGTTAAGTCCCTCACATTCGTAAAATGCGTAATATTGACAACAAAGTCAAATACCTTTGAAAAATTTTTTCGGCTCAGATTTGAATATAGCTTCCATATATATCCTTATTCCGATTTCAGGTTTTTTTTTAATGAATTTTGGAACGCACGTATGCATTTGGTGGAGCTCGGCTCGAATGTATATTTTTATCCATATTGTGATGGAGGGTAAGTTTGCCATTACACTTGTAATACCTCAAAATATACATTTTATACCCCACAAAGATCAGCATAAAATTCTATGTCGACTTAGCGATATCCGTCCGTCTGTCAGTCTGTGAAAATCACTCTAGAGTTTGAATGACATGAAATAGGTTGATAAAATTTCACTCAAATATATACTGTGTCTGCAGGACTTTTGGTATGGAAAATGGGCCATTATGACAACGTTTTGGTATAGCCCCCATATAACGGTACCTCCCGATATTCGGTATTTTGGTGATTTTAGCGACATTATTCACTGGAAAGCTTTCAAATTTGGTATTTAAAGTTCGTAATGGATGCTTCAGCCTATGACAGAAAATTGTCTCTGAAGGCCCATGTCTTCGTATAGCCCCCATATAACGGTACCTCCCGCTATTCGATATTTTGATGATTTGAGCGACATTATTCACCTGAATTGTTTCAAATTTGGTATTTGAAGTTCATAATGGATTCTACAGCCTATGACAGAAAATTGTCTGTGCGGGTCCGGTTCTTCGCATAGCCCCCATATAACTCTACCTTCCGATATTCGGTATTTTGATGATTTTAGCGACACTTTTCACCGGAATTGTTTCAAATTTGGTATTTGAAGTTCGTAATGGATACTACAGCCTATGACAGAAAATTGGCTGTGCAGGTCCGGTTCTTCGTATAGCCCCCATATAACTCTACCTTCCGATATTCGGTATTTTGATGATTTTAGCGACATTATTCACCGGAATTGTTTCCAATTTGGAATTTGAAGTTCGTAATGAATACTACAGCCTATGCCAGAAAATTGCTTGTGCAGGTCTACGTTTTGGTATAACCACGGTACCTCCCTATATTCGGTATTTTGATGATTTTAGCCACATTATTCATTAATTTGTTTCAAGTTTCGCTTTTGAATATCGTAATGGCTTATGACAACAGTTTCCTATGCAGATCCAGGTCGTCGTATGTACCTTTATATAGCGGCTACATTCAATGGTTTTAAGAAATTTTACGGATTTTTTTTTATTGACAAACTCTTTCCAAATTGAGGACGGCATTTGTTTGCTTGTTTTAACATAATCCTTCAAATTTTGTAAAAATCGCTTCAGGATTGGATAAGCCTCACATACATTAGTTCCCTCTTGATCAAATTATAACTTCTCTAAAGCCAAAGGTTGATAGGTGGTATGATCTATTTTAAATTTTAGGGGACGGACCCGGATACCCTGATATTTTACCCAAAATTCCAGGTCCAAGAGCTGTGCCTACCTGAACAGCATGTGCTGAACATAACCGGTTCGTCTGGGTTCAAAGACACATATCTCTGAATCCAAGAAAGGCAATAACACATATTGTAGCATTTTGGAAAGGTTATAATGTCACCTATAATTTGGCATACATTTTGGGCACTCCAAAATTTGGGCCTTTTCCGACTTTTGAGGATTTTTTTTAAAAAATCAGGGTCCAAAAAAATCATAAATTTTAATACGACTCCGGAAACGTTTCAAATGATACCAACATTGTCGGTTTAGTATTTCAGAGTCTGACCCGGGTCTTATACATGGAAATTCTGGTCAAATAAGCGGATATCCGGGTCCGTACCCGGACCCTGTGAAAAAGATCTGCCAATAGAACTTGAGTCGAACCTGGAGAGTTTCTAGTGTATAATTCGCATATGCTAATTTGCAATATGTTCGAAATATATACTACTTTCCAGAGAACGGCCCTTGTAAGCCATTATCCAAACCAAATATGCCTGATGAGCCGCTTAACCAACGGCGAAACGCGTCGCATAGTGGTGAGTGTGTGATAGTGTCTATCTGGCTTTCCTTTTCACTGCAAATTTCAGATCATTAAGCTCGTCTCGAAAGAGAAAACAAACACATAAATCATAAAACATATGATCTTCGCCTTAACAAGGCAAAACTCAAAAATTCAGCCGAGCCTGGCTGTGGGATTTGAACCGCGGACCTCGGTGTGCAGCCAACTAGAAGTTGCCGTCTCTACGTTCAGAGCCATTAACCCGTCTTCCTAAAGCAGCACTAAAACAAGTGTATGCATTGGAAGCAATGTAGTTGTTGTGGACAAAAAATCCATCACTACAAAAACAAAAAAACTTTGCTGTGAAAAAGATCTGCCAATAGAACTTGAGTCGAACCTGGAGAGTTTCTAGTGTATAATTCGCATATGCTAATTTGCAATATGTTCGAAATATATACTACTTTCCAGAGAACGGCCCTTGTAAGCCATTATCCACACCAAATATGCCTGATGAGCCGCTTAACCAACGGCGAAACGCGTCGCATAGTGGTGAGTGTGTGATAGTGTCTATCTGGCTTTCCTTTTCACTGCAAATTTCAGATCATTAAGCTCGTCTCGAAAGAGAAAACAAACACATAAATCATAAAACATATGATCTTCGCCTTAACAAGGCAAAACTCAAAAAACGATTTAATTTCCAAGTTTGGTGCGAGAATTATAATTTCCCTTTGGAATTTCCCATGGATATCCTGCCTAATTTGCTCCCTCTTGGTGTCGAATTCGGCTAAAACTTCAGACTTACATGCGACCCTGTGGTCCAAAAACACGTCAACCAATTCTTATAACTTGCGGTCAGAAATCAGGCCGAATACGCATCCAAAATCGCAAGTTTCATCCGTCTTTCGGTTCAAAGTCGTAACAAACGCCGAAAATTTGGTTCACTGGGCATTCACACAAGTTGTTGTTGAGATTGCAAAGTCTCTCAAAGAATCTGAAGCAGCAGAAGCTTTATTTGGTGTTCATTTCATTCGTAACATGTCTTAGGGAGATAAAATAGATATCATGTCTTGACACCCACGCACACACACATTCATACACGTATTAATTTATTTCTAAACAGCCAAACAATTCACACCTTCACACTCACACACCCACAGAATCACACAACCAAAATAGAAATAAGGGCTGGCACATAACCAAAAGCAAAAGATACAAAAAAATAACTGTCATCATAAATCTTGGCCCCTCTTAACTTACCTGATATCATCAAGACAGCTACGCTGAAAATCTCCCAACACCTCAAAGGTCTTGATGCCGGTATACTCTGCCTTGCCACCGGCATAAACACCCTCCTGCTTATCAATGGACAGCCACTGATGTCCCACATAATTAAATGTTTCGTTATAGCGACGACCCTCACCCCCATCCAATTCCATGAGGGCTGCCGAACCGTAACGGCTAACCTTAACCACATGCCATTGGCCATCGTTGACCGCAATGGCGGACAAGGCCAAATGATGTTCCTCAGCCTTTAGCGAGTTGAGATTGTAACGAAAATGTAATCTCCCCTGGCTCAGCTCCAGTATGGCATATTCTCGTTGATGTTGATCGGATACCCGGAATATCTCACCGCTCATTTCTCGGGTACGGAAGCGCAATTGTAGTTGGGTGGTAAAACGATCAGGTTCAAATGATAAGGCAAATTTTACATAGCTCTGGGGTTTGAATGTGGTCGGTATGGTGGGTATGTTACACATGGGTCCCGTCCAGCCGGGCTGGCAATGGCACTTTGCCTGCACCAAACTGGCCACACAGTTGCCTTGCTCCCAACAGCGGGCTGTGTGATCTGTTTTCAGGCAAACCTCATCTGTTTGCGGACAACCCGGATAACTGTTATGGGCCAGGGCTGGGAAGGCCAAATCATAATGCTCCGAATTGTGTATGACATTGCGTATACAGCCATCAAATCCCTTGGAGGTAAAGGCATATTGCCAGCGGAAGAGCGATTGATCGAAATGTTGCCGATACAGGCCACCAATTTGCAGGGGTGTATTTAAATTCAAGGCTTCATTGAAGGGTGGTATGGCTCCCCGGGCCTGGCAGGAATTGTCATCGAATTCCGGTGCTGAGCCATCTTCCATTTCGAAAACATCGGCAGAACGGCAAAAATCAACCACCATGCGTACATTCTCGGAATCCCAAAACAGGTCGAGGCGATGCCACACTCCATCATCCAGGGTTTTCTTGGTTTTCACCCGCAATTCCAGGGTACCTGAACCGAAATCAATCAGCAGCCTTGGATAGCCCTGCTCCAATTCCACGGCCACAAAATCGCTAAGGACCATACCCTCCACCTTGGGTGGCACAATGGGCCCGTTATACAGAATCAAACCATCTGCCTCTTTGGTTATGAATTCCAAACTTAGATGGGATTCCTCGCACAGCTGTAGCGGGGGATACCAGGCCCAGCCATTGCCCTTGAAACTACGAGTATTTTGCTGGCACCTTGGACCATTATAGCCAATGGGACAAGCCACACATTTGGGCCCATTGCGGGTGTCCACACAACGCCCGCCATTGAAACAGTGCAGCGTACGACAGGAGCTCTCCCGACTAAAGTTGCGAGCCCTACACACACACTCCGCCCTGATGTCCAGCCGCACACCCACCAAAGCTGTTTTATTTACATTGACCGTGTGTGGCAGCTTATTAACTTCCACCCGATTCGAACACGAACCCGGACACTTCTTCTGCTCCAGCAGACACTCATCAATGCCCACCATGGTTATGTTCAGACCCAATTCCTTTTCAATCTCATCCCTTTGCATAAGGACCACCCCGTTGAGTCGCACCGCCTTAAAGCTGGGCTGTTGATTGGCTGGCCGGGCGGCAAAGTGTACATCCGTCACACCCTCCTCTTTGGTTTGCACACTAAACACATCCACCATGTCCCGTTCGGTGTACAAGAGCTCAGCCAATTTATCGCGAAATCGTTCCAGCTTGGAGCGCACCTGTTTGTGTTGCTTGAAATCCCATGTGCGCACAAATTCCTCATCACTTATGCCCTGCAGACGCATAGAGCCAGCCTGTTGTACTGCCTCCTGGGTAATGTCTCGCACTAGCACCGTCATATTCGCCGGCACATCCACCTGGCCCTGTTCGCGGTCATAGACCTTGAAGCGTAAATTGTAGCGGCCACGACGTGTGCCAGCCTTCATCGTCACAATGCCCGTATCGGTGTCCAATTTGAAGCGCTGATGTTCCTGTTGTTCCCAATAGTATTTCTTGTCCACCACATCCCAATCGTCCAAATCGTGTACATACACCCGGCCGATGGGTGTATCGTGTGATTGGCCCTGGTAATTGTAGACGAGCACCTCTTTGCTGCCGGGCAGCATTTTGTTGTCGTTGACATCGCCAATGATGACGGTCAGCGTGGAGGTGCCAGTCATTGCGGGTGAGCCATTGTCTTTGATTTCGATGGGTATGAGGTAGGCTTTTTGTTTTTCGCGGTCGAAGGGACGCAGCGATGAGATGATGGCAGCGCCATTGCCACCATCGGCTCCTGGAGCAGCCAAGAAGGGTTTCCGAAAGACGATATGAAGCCATTGATGAGGGATGATTGTTGGTTGGTTCGATGGTTGCCAAAAGTGATGTTTCGTTTCGTTTCGTCGTTATTTCAACAAAAATCAGTTAATTTGTTTGATTGGCGTAATTGGATGGCAAACGGTGTATATCAATTGCAAACCGGCAGCCAGCCACGCACAGACGACGCCATACACATTTTTATTGAAATATTGTTTCAAACGTTGTTGTCAGGGTTGTTGTTGTTGGTGGTGGATACATGCAAAGAAAAAAGAACAATTTGTTAACAAGAGAAACTTTAATCAATTCGTAATTGAGTTGCGACTAAAAGTATGCAACATTTAATTGATACTCCTAAAAGTAGGCAACATTTAATAACAATTTCATTCATTCATTCGACAAAGAGCAAAAATTTTCTGCAATTTCAATAAAAGCCTTCTTGATTAAACTTTTGCTCACACAATTTCACAAGTGCTTAATAATGAAAGCCAATTTGCAAAACATTTTCATTCGAATGAAAATGGAGCACAGTGTTGTTTTGTTTCGCTTGTTTGTTCATTTCGGCAGGTGTGAACTTTTTTCTCTCTCTCTACTGTTTGGCTCACATTGTTGCCATCTTTTGTAGAATTCCCATTAAAATTAATTAAATTGACATTCTCATATAAACGCGCAAAGCCATTAACACAATTTAATGTTTTTTTTTTGTTTTATTTCAAGGAATGTTTTTTTGAAAAATTTTCAAATAAAAAAAAAAATTCGCACATCAAACGGAATTTGTAATGCCACGCCGCCAAAGTCAAAAGCTAACCAAATATTTATCGCTGCTAATTCAAAGAAAAACAATAAATTTTACTGCACTTTGCAAATAAACCAGGGAAGAGAAAAAAACAGCACATTTTAATCTTCATTTTATGGCCACATTTGGATATGTCACGCAAAAAAAAAAAAAGAAACGATTCCGGCTTATCTGATTATTATTTCAAACGTAAACACCGGGAAAAAGATAAACCATAAATTGTGGATATCATTGAGAGAAAAATACCTGGAAATGCATTGTGCTATGAATTAAGTGGATGTTTTTGTCGTCCATAAATATTTACGCATTTAATTGAAATGGGTCACAGTTGAGAAGGGGAATATTTTGTTCTTTTTTTATCAAAGTTTAATTTTTGCGAATGTTGAAAAATCATAAATTTCAAGTAAAATGGGGATTAAGGAGCAAATTTCGGAAATATGCAAATTTTTGTTTTTGTATGAAATTTGTAATTTTTTCAAACATCCTATATCTAAATGACAAAATGTACCTCACTGATGACTGTTTGCTACCCATAATACTTTTCAAGGGGCGCGTGAAATTTAATTAAAATATAGCGAATCGTAATAATTTCTCTGAGATTTTTGGCCACTTATCTCTTATATCCCTAACAAGAGTTTAAATTAAAACAAAAAAAATTGTAAAAATTGAGACAGGTGTGATAATTGACTGTATTCGTCAGGTACCTCGCCTGTAGTGGATAAACATTTTAACAGTAAATTAATATTAATTATTGATATGAGTGTCCGATTTTATTTTCGCACAACCCAATAATTGTGTGATTATCAGATTATGGAAGAAAATATAATATTTCTGAACAAGCGATTACCCTTGGAGTGTCGTTACAAATTATAGTCCATGTTTATTTGTAACCAGGCTACTATCGAAAATAGGGTCAGAATAGAACCTAATGTTTTTGGAGATGATTAATTCCTTTAAAGGTCACAATTATACACCAATCGACCAGAAATTTTGCATGGGGAAACAGTTAAAGACAGGGCAGTTTGGATGATTCTCGAACAATGTTGAAATGATCCATAAAATTTGTGCAAAAAAAAATGATACAAAAATGTCCTTAGAATCGCAAATATTTTTAAAACCGGCGATATCGCAAATATACGAAGGTATTACTTCTGACAGTTACATTGATGCTGAGAGACAAGGTAACGAATCTATATATAAAAGAGTAGTGCAACAACTGACTGACTAAGCTATAATCAACTGCCAGAAAAAACGGCTGAAGCTAGAATCTTGGTCCGTATGCATGTTTTACGGCTGGGTTTTTGGAAATTCGTACTAAAAGAGTGCGAAATGTCCTAAAAATTTAATACTTTGTATTGGGAGAGCCACTAATTGAGTGCATGATAGATGTAACAAAGGATTTTTGGAAATTCGAAGTCTTTAAAGTTACGAAAAGTTCTGAAATGGTACCAGTTTCTCTTATTTTGTGAATAGCTCTATCTAACTCCAACTCTATCCAACAACTTGAAATTTGGTATGAGAATCAACGTTGGAAAGTAAGTTTAATATACGGCGGTGGTCTTGGAAATGTGTGCTAAAGGTTTGAACAGTACTGAATGGTACTAAATTAGAAACAGTTTGGCTTAGGATGAATGGAACTGGAATTTGGTAATTTTGTTTTGGGTTTTTTTTTTTTTGATGGTTTTGGAAATGGCTTCGACAAGTGCACAAATAGTACTTTAAAGTACTACATTACAATTTGATATTGAGTTAGCGGATAGTTCTTGAAATCTGAAATTTGGTATTGGGGTCGCTGGACATATAGAGGTGGCTCCCGAAATGTGTACAATAATTATACGAAAAGTACTAAAATTTACTAAACTGGGCATTGGTTAAAAAAATTGAGCTGAAATCCTAAAATTTTATATTGAGGCTTATCTTGGTGTCTGGAATTGAGATATAGAGGTGGTTTTAGAAATGTGTTATATAATTGTTCAAAAAGTAGTAAATGGAACTAGATTTGGGTGGAGGGATACAACTGGCATACCGAAATTTAATATTGACATTTCTGTTAATATTTAGAAAACCATCTCCATTATTTCAGAAATTCGTAATTTCTTTCTAAAAAACGAAACATTTAAATTATAAAAAATAAACCTCCAAAGCCCGAAAATTTATTACGATGTAAGAAGTGTATATTAAAAATGTCGTCAATCTGAACAAAAGGTGAATTTTGAGTACTAACAAGTTAAAAAGCAGTAAGTTCGGCCGGGCCGAACTTAGAATACCCTCCACCATTTGGAACGAATTTGGAAATTTTAAAAAATAAAATCCGTTAAAAGTTCTGTTAAAAATCTTAAAAAAATACCGAATATAGACGTTATATTGGGGTCTATACGACACAAGCATTGTTTATCATAAGCCATTACCATATTCAAATTTGAAACGTGAAATAAACGGTGAATATTGTAGCTAAAATCATCAAAATACCGTATGTAGGGAGGTACCGTTATATCGGAGCTATACGAATGCCTGGACCTGCATCGATAATTCTCTGTCACAGGCTGTAGCATTCATTACGAACTTCAAATACGACATCTCAAACAATTTCGGTGAGTATTGTACCTAAAATCGTCGAAATACCAAATATAGGGAGGTACTGATATATAGGGCCTATACGAAGACGTGGACCGCCATAGACAATTTTCTGTGACAGACTGTTGTTCCCATTACGAACTCTATATACGTAGTTTGAAACTACTAATTATATGGGGGCTATTTGAAAACGTGGACCAACATGGCCTATTTACGAACTTAACCTGCCTACTGTCAAAATAAACTTGTGTGCAAAATTGTAGCCTTCTGTCTCAGTTCGTTCGAAAGATAGCGTGATTACAACAGACAGGCGGCATACGGACATCGCTAAATCAACTACAGCCCACTCAAGAAGACTGCTATGTCTCCATAATGGATGTGGTGTTAAAAATCAAATCAACCTGCAAATTGGGAATCTTCTTATTAGATAATATAAACAACTTCCTATAACTATACAGTATTATTGTTAAAGCTAAATATCGTATCGTCAGGTCAGTCCATTCAATTTATAATTTCTAGATGGCCCACAAACTTTATGGCCCTCGAAATAGTGGTCATAGATTTACTATGCTATGTATTGAGACAATCGCCGATTTGAGAAAATCTACACACGTTGCACAGTGGTCGAGGTCGTATGGGAACAGCGGCCAAAAATACTTTCAGTGCAGATATCAATATGATTCTTTGGTTATGGTACCTTGATGGGATAAAAATTAAAAATGTGACAAAATGGATATGGTCGATGCATGTTTTGGCATGGTCCCCTTACAACGTACCTCCCGATAAGGGTTATTTGCCCAATTTTTGTCACATTTTACACTAGATTGTTCTGTTATTTGACATTTTACGTTCTAAAGAGCTAAAAAATAGTCTTACTGAAAATTATTTGGAACGGCCCGCCTTCAGGTAGAGTCCCTCTGTAAAGGTACCTCCAAAAATAGAAGTATTTTGTTATATAAATCCCAGGTTGCCCATATTCGACGGACCTTTGGGCCCATTCCAATCGACGAGGCTTGTCCACAGGCAACATTATTTGCGTCAATTGAATTTTGTACGGGAACAAATGCAAATCAATGCGAATAATCCGTTGTAATGTGGACCGAGCCATGCCCAACTGCTGAGAACGGCGTTTTTCGGATGTTCTTGGGAACCTCTCAACACTGGCTCGTACGGCAGCGATATTCTCGGCCGATCGCCTTGGTCGACTTTTATATGGCCTCTTCGGATTAGAAAGAGCCTTACCAGTCGAAAATTTTTCGTATAAACGCTTAATGGTGTTCTTGGAAGGCACACTTCTCACATTTTTTAATGTTTTAAAAGCACGTTGAGTTTTCACAATTGACTTCTTCTGTTGAATGTAAATTTCAACTATTACAGAGCGCTCGCGTGGCGTGTATTGGTTCATGGTAAAAATCTGCTTGGACTGACGCTTCAAACGCGGTATGTCATTAAGCGATGTGACATCTCTGTCAAAAGTTATGGCGTTGCCAGATGGGTCCGTCGAATATGGGCAACCCTGTATTAAAATTTTATTAGCTGTGGGTGAAAGATAGTGCCATGGATATCTATTTGTTAACTCTTTAGCCGTTTCCAGTGCAAAGGCCTTAAAT